TGCCATTCAATAACTTATCCACATACACCATGTTCTAATTTGATTAAAATGTCAATATGCACCTATTTAAACGGAAATAAAATTTGTAAATCCAATTCAAACTGCTTTTCTTGGAGCTAAAATATTTTAGAAAACTTAATTTAAAATTACCTTGTTGACTCTCTTCAACAGATGTTTAATTTGAGTGTGTAAATTTTCTAAGATATTTTTCCTCTGAGAAAAGCAATTTGAATTGGATCTATATTTGAAAAGCTTTCTTAACAATTATTTTATTCAAAATTGTGAATTTCTCATTGTAATTCTGAGGATGGAAATAAAACGATTGCAAACATTAAAATTTATATTAATACATTAACTTCTTGAATTAAAATTGTTCATTATATTGATGAAAAATGGTCCTTTGTCATTCTTCATCACAAGGATTATATAAAACAAATATATAAACAAATGTAAATTATATAAAAGTGTATTCATTGTAATAAGAAATGGTAAGAAATTGCTTTCACCAGAAAATTTATGAAATTTTTTCTAATGAATTTCAATAAATATAATTGAACTAAAACAAACTAACAAATTATACAATCAATTTCTTCAATTATCCAAGCAGATATATGAACTGTTGAAAGTGGTGTAAGTCATTTTTCATCTATATTAAGAAATTTAGATGTAAAGTTAAGTACTGATTTAAAAATTACTGTGGATTTATTGTTAAGTGCTTTTACCTTTAAATAATGTAAATATTCCTATTTCTTTACAACAGATATGTAAATAATGCTATTAAGTACTGAAACTCAGCAGCAATATAGTTTTTTGGAAAAACTGACTTCCCACCACGTTCACTTTCAATGGTTCATATAAATTGTTTAAAACTTAAGTATTATTCACTAAAAATTTAAATCAATATAATATTATTCAAATTAATATTCATTAAACATAATAACCAAAATGCTATTTTATGAAATCATAAAAACTGCATATATACTACAATAGGATTTATTAATGAAAAATATTTATTATAAAATTCAAGAAAATATATTTTTGTAAATGTGAGGATCCTGTTAATGAACCCTTTTGTTGGCACAAACAATGTTAAATTAACCTGCATGGTTTACATGGATACCAATATCTACTTTTTAGGCAAACAGTCTGAAAATGTCATGCACTCTCACTACTTTCATATATATTTGCTTTTCTGTGATTCTAGTAAATTTGTTAGTATTACACCAAACATGTTCATAAAACGTTCAAACACAAGCATATCTGCAGAAGGTAGAAAGCATTGATGCCTAATATAATCAGACCAGATATCACAAAAATTTCTTCGGGATCATAGTCTGAAACCTGATTCTTCTCAGAAGCAGATAACATTTCAGCTTCCTTGACAATTTAGCTATCATACAGCATGTTCCAATGTAATAACGTGCAACAATGTTAGTAATGATCATGTTATTTTTCACTCTATTGAGTAAACTGTTGACAAAACCCATGCTTGAAGCAAGCATCAAGATTGACAACAATATTCTTCAGTTTAAAGTTGATGAAAGCACAGCATTTCAATTACAAAATAGTAATTATCTTATTTTCAATCATTTTAATTATAAAAACAGCATAAATGGTATATAAAGTATAATATTCTCATTGTTTTCAGATACAGCAATATTGCTTGTGTTAATCATGACTATGAGGTGGTATTGTTAACAACTCTGTTCCAAATGTGAAGGAAGTATGATCTCAAACATTGCAACATTTGCTAGCTACTGCAACAGGCTACATTGATATACTGGAACACACAGATAATCATATTCTAATGATATCTGTTTAAGAAGCAGTTAAAGGTTTTCAGACAGCAAAAAAGCTACTAGGTTTATAATTATAAGCATAAGCCTACCAAGAAATAAAAGTACAGTGGGTGATCGGTTAATGAACATAATCCGTTCCAAGACTTTCCGTTCCATTAACTAATTATCGATTTACCATAGGTTCCTATGGGAATTTGATTAATTCGTTCTGGAGACCCCCCAAAAAATATATACTTTCTTACTACATTTATTCATATGTAATAATAAAAATACATATATACAAGGTCTTGCATTTTTCTTAGTCGTGTTTTTTCTGTTTGTGGGGGTTAAAGAATCTGTCCAATGTTGATTGCTTTTCTGTCTTCTTCATGATTTTTCAGAAGTAATTAATAGCATTGTAATTGTAGAGATCTATAGGCCTATTAACCTCAACCTGGTTTGNAAAATCCAATTAGGAACATTTAGTTTACTAGTTACCAGTACTTTTCGCACAAAAAATGTGGGTGTAGTTATGATACCTTGTTTACAATTCACTATAATGTAATTGGGGTTCCATAATACCACCTTCTCCTCTATTATTTTTGATAAATTTTTGCGTGTTTTAGCTGGCAACACTGGCTCGACCATTGAAGGGAGGCCAGTATTTAAACGAGACTCAATTTTCTAATTATGGGTGGTGGTTTGTTTTGTTAGCAATAAAATAGTTTAAAAATAATTTTTAACGATACAATAGCGGCGATTATTATTTTAAAAAATTGTTAGGCTTAACATCGATAAAAATTCAACGCGAAGTTTGTTAACACACATAAAGTATGAAACTTCCTTTAATTATAACATTAGGCACAGGGAGCTGCTGACCTTTTTTCTTTTCTTTTTTTTCAGTATTAGAATTTTCAGCTTCTACTTTTCTACTTTTTATTTCTTTTTGCAAATCAGCTCAACACTTTTTCGGCTATCATTTTCTGGGGTGGGCCGTAATTCTCGCTGAAACTGTAGTATTTTTAATGTAGTGTACGACCTACAAACACTTGTCTTTTTATTTTACCCGCGATCCCCGTGTAAGGCTTCGCGGCCCACAGGATGTTTAAACACTGCCTTAGACATTTCGACCGATTCGTTTAAAACAAAATGACTGTTCCTAAAATCGAAGATATCAATGTCGCTAGTGTAGTCTTTTCAGAAATCATTTTCATAGATTGCTTCAGGACAGTTATTTCTATCATTTCACATTTTGATCCGCAATTTAAACACTCGAGTAGATTTAGATATATCGATATCGCCGGGCGCCATTTTCTTAACGAAGTAAACGAACTCTTTCCTTCGTGAATTTCGTTAGAGTTTCGTTTGAAACGTCATCAACATCCGGCATGCGTACTGAATGGAATTTGTATTTTATGACCGACTCGTTAGTATTAATTTAATTCATTCGACTTTATGAACGTACCCAGTGGCGTAGCGTCGGTGTCAGCCGGGGCGGATGAAAATTTCACCGCCCCCTTATTTAGGTATCTCAATTTAAAAGACTAAAATTCAGTATCGTCACAGAATAAGTAATGAAAAATTCCGTGCTAGTGTTGCCACCTTTTTAAAATCGCCGACCCGGACGGCAGGTGAGGTTTGTTCGAACAGAAGTTCCTGACGCATGCGTATATCATTTTGCAATGCGAAGAATAATTTGCAGTGCATGCTGGTTCTAACTCAGTTACAGTTAGCGACTAGGGAGACTTGGATAGGAGTAACGCGAGTGACCTAGCTCTATTGGATATTGGAGGTGTATATGATTACGAATGAATCCTACGAGTAAACAAAAAATAGGTCGACAGGTTGCGCACGATATCCCTCGGACCGCGAGTCGGATGGTAACACTATTCCGTGCTCATTTCAATCGGTCCGAATCGCAAGTGGACGAAAGTATGAAATTGAATGGTTCAAATTCTTACAAGATATTATTATTATTTATTGTGAACTTTTGCCGCCCCCTAAAACGTAATTTTCCGCCCCCTAAAAAGTGCCGCCCTCCACGCTACGCTACTGAATGTACCCATATTGTCTCCATACGACCATGTGGGTGCCTTCCGGGACTTTCTATGGGAAACTGATTCTTCTATTTAGATGTTAGAGTGGTGAAGAAAATCCTTTAAACTTTCACACTGCCAACCAGTTGGTCGAGGGTCGTCACCTGATAGCGGCTAACCGCAAATTCAGTGATTTTTATCCATTAGGCCTTTGATTGGATGAAATTACAACGAGAATCCCGTTTCAAGGAGCTGCACAGAAAATTTCGTTTTCGCTTTCTGAGAGTCAGATCTCAAATGTAAATAATATCTCTTGAGCAAATTTGAGTTGTATTTAAATATGAATAAACTTAAGCATTATTGTTATCTATGAAGTTTGTATTTACTGCCCATTGCAGCATTATACCCCGTATTTAAGATTTCATTATTACATTGAGCCATTGGCAAGTGGGATCGATTTTTGGGACTCGAAAAACCAGATTTTTTTAATGTAGGCCTACTAGTTTCGATCTTCGTAATTATAATGGTTCTCTACCTCTACATGTATATACAGTGGGTGATCGATTAACGAACAATTCGGATAACGAATGAAGTATGGAACGGATTATGTTCGTTAACCGATCACCCACTGTATATGTAAATGATAATATAAATACAACTTCATTAAGAATCTCCAAATGCTAATGATAATACTCTCTAGCTATATTCTTACTAATTGAATCGTAAATGAGAATCAAAGATACGCATTTTTCGATTCGGAAAATCATTATACCTCAATTGAATTGATCACTCAATTTATTCTCAACTTAAAATTATCATTTTGCAATGTGTAGGATATATATCCAAAGAATATTTTATTTATTTATCAATCTTTTATTCATCACACATACAAATTTCGTATAAAAGTTTACTTAAATTGTACTTATATATTTTTGAATATTTAAAGTTTCGCTTGTCCATTAATTTTTGATTAGAATTAAGGGCTTCTGAATAATGAATTCCATATAAATTTTTATTCATAATAATATTTATTAACAAACAGTTAAATTACAATTATATTTCTCTTCTGTTCATTAAAAATATTAAAATCGATTTTATATTATCAATTTAGTTTTTAGGATTTTTTAAATCTTCATCATTGCTAACTTTCATGATTTCGTTTAATCATAAAATTTGCTTATTAGCAAATAAAATTATTAACTATTATAGATTCTCCTTTTTTGTATACTATTCTTAATCTTCTTTCTAAAATACTGTTCAATGCTTCATTCGTAAATGACGTCTGAGAGCAGAAAGATAAATAAATTTTTTGGAACAAACCGCACATGAATGATGAGAAATACCACCGTGAATCTTTCTATGACTATATAAATCACATCTCTGACTATAAGAACGTGTACAAATATCGCACTGATACTTTCCTTTAATCTGATGACTTCGTCTGAGATGTAAATTCAACCCCTGTTTTGATTTGAATAACATGTCACATATACTACACTTTACAGTTGTTTCTCCAGTCCGATCCAAACCTCTCGAACAATCCATTGATTCGACTGAAATATTCAAAAAATTCTGTTAGAATTCAATTATTTTGATTACAGTTATATATATTTATTTTAGTATTTAAAATAGTATTATATACGATAGATTTTAACATTTGAGTTCAATAAAAAAAAATACTTCTCTTCGAATGAAAAACATTTCAAAGTTTTCCTAAAAACTAAAATAATATCTTTAATTTTATACAAATTTCTAATTTATAGCATACATTACAATCGTTAAATCAGATTTAAACTGTAACTCATAAAGGATTTTGCAGATATAAATCAGTTTCAATGAATAAAACTAGAGAATCAAACTTTTGGTTCTAAACCATGAATAAAAAATTCTAATATTCCGAAAGGATTCGATCCTGTATTTTCCATATGATTGTATTAAATATGGTCTGCTGACATCAGAAATTTAATCTCTTGATCGTTTTGACGTGTTCGAGAATCGTTAGGGAAATTTGCGTTATGGAAATGCTCATGACACATAGCCAATCAGAATAAAAGTATTATCTATGGCACCGCAATTCATATTCTGCTAATCATATATTGATAAAACTGACTCCATACTCCGGCAAAGCGGAAGTGCCGCCTTTATTTGTCCCTTGCATTAAAGATTTAATTGAGGCTTTCGAATATTTACAGTATATTTTTATTCAATAGTTTGTTGTAATTTGTATATATTTTGATAGCAGATTTTACACACTTCATTCACATATATTTATTACACACTTTTCTAATTACTTTCGTCTTTATAAACTGCTGGCCAAGTAAAATGCAACACCATGTAGGTCTCTAGATATTGCAGGTGTTGCATTTTACTTGGTCAGCAGTGTAGTTGTTTGAGATGAAAATGACTCCTATTCCGGATCCTCCGGATTCTATTCTTTCTTCATTTATAGATAAGAAAATTATGAATACAAATAAAATTGAAATTGAAAAATAAACTGTTTATTTAAAATATGAAAAAATATCCGAATGAATCGTTTTCTATACTTTCATCTTACCAAGAAACTTACACAGATATAATAAATACCGGTACGTTAAAGGAAAAACAATGTAATATTACTAAGTAGATAATTTCTATACAGACAGATAAATCGTGTTACAGTGGGATCTGTTGTTGTTGAACCTAAACTAACCAAAATAGTTATAACAGTAAGGTAGATATAGATTTCAAAAATAAGTGTATTGTTTATCTTTGTAGATGTTGTATACGATATAATAATGTAAGTTATAATGAAACTTTTAATAACAGCAGATGAAATTTTAAGTATAGTCGAGTCTTTCCATAACCATATTAACTTTGAAGAACTAGAATCGAATAACTGTTTAAATTATCTAGAAGTAACAAGTGACCTTGCATTAATTACGGCTACAATTTTTGAGTCACTTTTGACTCCCCCCTTTTAATTAAATGAACAATAGTTCACACTTCCTGGTATCGAAGAAATTACTTTAAAAAAATTCTTCGAATATTTTCTAACTAAAAGTTTACTCATATTACTAATAAGTAGGCTTATAAAAATTAATTCGTATGCCACTAATACCCGTACAAAAGTCCACTAGATAATGCTGCAATGCCTAGGTTCCCTCCTACATCGTGTACAATGATGTAAAATACTTGTTACAACCCTCTCTCTCTTATCTGTAAACGTAATTAATGGACAGCTCCCAATTAGAAAATAAAATAAACTGAATTATAAGAATATTATAAACCATGTAATGTCAATAAAACAATAGATGCCTAATTATATTAACAATAATATCTTTCGCATGAGTATATTAAAACCATAAATAGAACAACAGACCCCATTGCTATACAAAAATAAATAGAAAACATCAATGTTCAAAATGCTTTGGATATCCTTATAAATTATTAATGAAGTATCAATAGTACAAAAGAATATTTAATAAGAAAATATTAAATATGAAAAAAAAACAAAATAAGTATATAACTGTCACGTATTTTTAAAATCTTTTTGAACAGATTAGTTAAAAATATAATGTAATGTGCATAATTGTTATAAAATATCATGGAATGAGAAGCATACTGAATAAGCATTTCCAAGTATTTTGAAGGAATAATTTCCTATAATGGCTTTAAAAAATGAACAATTTTCAACATATTTTTCAAGAAAAATTACAGTAAATTGATATATTTAGCTGTAATAATGAATAAGATATCTTGGTCTATAGTTTCTTCATGTGTATATTGAAGCTATTTTGATACTTTAATATATTTTAGAGAATTTGTGAAAAAATTTCACATTGAGATTCATTAAAGAAATCCAAATAACTTAGAAATTTACATTGTTGATTTGCGACTAAATAATATACTCTATTATGGCAATAACTTATTTATGTGTAAAAATTACAATATTTTTTATATACTTGTTTATATACATATAATTATTGTCCTGGCCTGTTTTAATACTTGTATTAGTTGTAATATATATTTTAAAATAACTTATTTATGATGAATGTACAAATCTAGAAAATTATTTATAGTTTCAAGTACAAATTGTAATTTTTCAATTATGTTAATCTTTCTCACACACAAACAGGTTTAATTTTAACGTTAAATTATGAAAAAAAAAAAAACGCGTAAAATTATAACATAAAACAAATGGAAATGCAACATTTGTATGAAGACTATGAATATGATTATTAATTAATCAAAGAATATTCCCAGTTTCAAGTAGAGATCTACACGTTTATTCGATTAAAATAAACTGAAACTTCAAGAATTTAGTTTTTACATTAAATTGTGAAAAAATCCATATAAAATAACACATAACAGATACAGATAGAGAAACAGACACCATCAGAGTAACATCCACAAAAGAGAACATTGAGACATACGAATAAATAAAAACCATAATATCGGGATNAATTTTATATTTAAAGAATTAAACTTGTATCAATTAAGAAGTCACTCTATTATGTTCTTAAACAGTCTCAATAAGAGCATAAACAAATGATATAAATTTTTAAAATACTTGTAAAGAATAATTTGAATGTTTCTTTGTTATATGTAATTTTAGTTGGCATAAATATGCAAATTTTTTAGAACATAAATTACAACTGTGTGGAAAGGAACCTTCGTGCATTTTCATGTGTGATCTGAGGCTGCTTCTCCATTTAAATGCTTTGCCGCAAACTTCACAGTGACAGTTTTCTTTAGATGTAGAATGTCTATTGAGATGAATTTCTAAGTTACTTTGGTAACTGAATTGCTTTTTGCAAACAGGGCATTCAATACCTTTTGATTTTTCTTTGTCAAGAATGTTTTCTTGAGATTTTTCTCCACCTGTAAGAAATATTATTACTAATCAATATTTATAAAAAAAAATTAAAATTTTCTTTACATGTAAGGAATGTATGAAATCAATCTGGTGTTTATAACAATATGAATATTTACTTTATAATGATGATAATTAATATAATAACAACAAAATATAACAAAAATAATAAAAAGTTGTATTTTTTAATTTAAAAATAGTAATAATTTGAAAATTAATTTAAATTAATTTTTAAATTATTACTGCTATATATTTATATTAAACAACAATACAAGATAGAATGAATGTATATCAACCAACCAAAATCATAGTGATAGCATTTAGATTATAAATATAGACAAGATTGTGTACAGATATCCCTTGCTTAATGTGAGATTTGATTAATGCATGAAATTATTTGCAGTAATCCCTTTATATACATGGCAGAAGTTTTAATTTACTTGTCTTTACCAGCTGTATTACTTAACATAGATACCATATTTTGATTAACATGGTTTTAATATACTCACTAATGGGTGAAGGGATTATTTAACCATGTTAATCAAGGAATACATGTACAGAACATATAAAATTAATGTCAGCCCCCCTCTGTCTACTTAAGGATAAATGCTCTGTAATTTTTCTGATCACATAAAAAGTAATGAGACTGAAATCTGTCAAATGAGACTCATGAAGAATGCTTTATCATAGCTTAGCATTTATTATTGGATAAAATGTTCAAAAAAAGACCTCAAGACCTCATTCTGTCAAAAACAACAGTATAGCAGTGTAGCAATTTATAACATAAAATACATCATATGAGAATTCTGATTAATTAAGCAGACAAGTAATTAATCACAGTACTATGTATAGTATTATCAATAATGATCTGAAAGTTTGTAATTATATGACAGGAACTAAATACTTAATAAGCAGAAAAATGAATATGTGTAGCCATTTCAAGATGTCTCTTAACCATTATACAGAATGTAATATCTTTCATGACTTATCATCAAACCTTCAAGTACTATATTTACTCTGAAGACATTCCAGATTTTATTTTATATGATTTTTATTCTTTGTATTCCCAGGAAAACAAAATAATAGTATTTGCTAAAGAGTGAGATGATGAAAACATAATTATATAATTATGTATCAACTGAAATCTTCTTCCGGTATCCAGAATCTTCTGAAAGTTAAAATAATTGAATATTGTAGGGAAACTATTAGACAATAGCATAAAGACAAAATTCTAATTTTTCAATTTATCTTTGCTCTCTTTTAATTTATCAAATGAATCTAAAATATTTAAAGAAAAAATTTATAGACACAATTAACTCATTCTAATAATTAACTAACTAAAGACTTTAACAATGTAGAAAAAGTGTGTTCATATATTTAATATTAGTAATTTAATTTGTGTTTCTTATATTAGAGAACTGATATTAATCCAGGATAATTATAGAATTTAGAATGACATAAGAAAATTTAAGTTTAACTTCATTAGCTAAACTTAATATACTTGTCTACCAAATTTCTTTTATAAATTTCTAAATATCAATACAATACACATTAAATTGCAAACATTAAAATTATTATATCACTAATTATATTATTTTTGTGATGGAATATATATCTAAATGAATCTAGATCAAAACTAATCACAGAAAACTGTTTTAATTGCCAAGTGAAAAATTAATACTACAAATGTAGAATTTAAGC